ATCTATTTATTCACAACTCCAGCAAAGGTACATTGTTCTCTAAGATGCTGACCCTATAAAACTTCTATAAACTGTGACCTCAATTATTAGTAGTCTTCCTCAGAAATTATTCTCTTTGTCAAAACCCAGCAAACTCAAGCCTTCCCAAGTGAGGCTTTTAGGTCTGAAGACTGACTCCAGGTAGCCTGAATCTGAATGAAACACTCCTATTACAGTGTCCCATTAGGACTAACGGGATTTCCCCTAAAATTTATCCCTGCTCTTTCTTCAGTTTTACTGGCTCTGACCATGACCCTGCCACAACTGTATCCAACATCTTCAGCTAGAGGTGTCCCAGAAGACTAACCAGCAAACAACAGTGACATCTCCCCATTTCCTAAACAGAAAGCAAGACACTACATTTCCAAAGCTGGCTGGCTTAATAGCTTCATGCCTTTGAAAAAGTACGTGATTGACCTTAAAGAAAGTAATGTACTTTTATACAGTCTACGTTGCAGAGTAAACCAAAACAATAATAAATTGTTTATATAAAAAATAAAATCCTTGATACTTCATAGACTATTCTGACATTTTTATTTCTCCTTCTCCTTTACCCTTCTCTCTTCACTCTTCACTGAGGTTAAAATTCATGCAAGTGGTGAAGACACTTAAGAATCAATGTGTAACTTTGCATCCATCATTTTATTTAGAAGTGAATATTTAGTTTAATTACATTCCTACAACTTACTCAAATCCAAGCCTTTTTCCAGTCATTTGGAATACAAATGATTTAATGTGACTTCACCTTCAAAACTGGTTCCTATTCAAGTTCCTAAAAAACCCACTTGTTTGTTCAGTTCTGATAAAGTACATATCTTTGCTTTTACAGCAGCTGACTGAATATAAAAATCCTAACAGCCCCCTCCAGCTCTATCTCACAAGATCTGTAGGTAACGGTGTTACAGGAGTCTGATCAGACACAGGCGTGCTTCAAGACTTGTATCAGTTGGTCTCCCCCGAGTATTTTGGTTCTACGCTTGGTTCTGTGTTCCTGCTAGTGGATGAAACATGATGAAATGGCATACATGCCTCCAATGGCTGTCACGCAGATAAAGTAGTGGGATTTCTTCGCAGTGACAAGCACAGCACACACCTGACTGTTTGGAACAGAGTGTGTTTGTGCATCAAACGTTAAACAATGCCATTCACGCACACAGTGACAGTCTCCACAGGGTGTATGCAAACTATTAGCCCAGCTGGAAAACACCAGCACATCCCCTTGCAGCTATGTTACAGTCCTGTTAAAAGGGAAGGGAGAAATAAAGGTAATTTCTTACATATATGATGGAAATAGGCTTTCTTCTGCTGTTTTTGAATGACTAAGATGAGGTGTTTGCATGAGGTGTGCAATTAAATGTATTGTAGCTTCCTAAGATTTAAAGTGAAGTTCTGCCAGTGAAATCACCTGAGTGTCCCCACTCACTGTCTGTAGATACACATATGCAGTCACTTGGTGTACTCCCCAGGAACAGTTCAGTTTGTTTCCAAACCAGTCAACATATTTCAGTTTTAAGCAGCTATGTGCTAAAAAACTTCCACTGTTGTCATTCTACATCTTTAATGCTACTGAAACTGTCAGACAAAAATTACATTTTCCTGCTGCTCTGAGCAGTGGGAGGACGAAAATGACAAAAGACCCATGCTAATGTTAATCATAGATGGGAAACACAATGGCATTTTTCAAATATATAGGGCTGTGCTTTAACAGCATAGGCTCTTTATTTGTCCCTTCTACTCCGTTTATTTTTTTAAAAGACTAACTGTAAAGAAAAGAAAAATAACAGCAAATAATAACAACAAAGAAAAACAATTAGCAAAATTGACTGAATCCTGAAAATTCTCCCTTCATATATTTCCCATTGATTTTTTAATTCTTGTTGGTTTTAATCATTAGATGCTGTAAATATGTTCAATGTACTCAGTATCCTTTAAGTAACTTGTGATCATTCGTGTTTTTACCCTCAACACCCCTCTAAGATTATTCCCTTTGCAGGCAGGACACTGAAAAATAGAGGACTCAGGCACTTGGGAGCATGATTAATGTCCTCTGTCATTTAGATATCTACTTTGTAGCGATGACTACAGTGAGACTGTCATTTGAGGATTACTAGAGAATGTTTCTGACTATTAATCTGACCAAAATCAGGTGTCTCCCTTAGAATGTGATGAAAATGAGATTAGAGAGACTGCTCTCATGTTTATATCTACACTTAGATATAAAAACTTACAAAGAAAAAATATTCCACCTTGAAGGATTCAGACATCCCATTTCTTACAGCTGCCTCCCCTGGCTCTGCAGGGGATGAGGGTGGTGAGCTCTTCAGTGCTCCTCAAGAAGGCATTCCCTTGGTCTTGCCACTGCTGTCCAGATGAAAAGGCCTGACAGCCTCGGGCACCTCCAGCTCTTCCTGGTTCTTCTCCTCTCCAGCAGCCTCATCCAGCCTCCTGCCTTCCTCCCTCAGCCCCTCCAAATAATTCCACTGGCTCCCTGAGGACTTCCTCTCAGATATCTTCGGGCTGTCCCCAGGCCAGCTCTGGCAGCAGGACATGGACGATGCTGCCTTTTATACTTCCCAGGGCACTGCGACTGCTGTGTTGCCGGGTGGTGGCACTGTGACATGGGGGTGACAGGTCTGCCATGTGCAGCCCTTTCTGCTTCTGGGTGGTTCTGGCCCTGAGGCTGTCTCTGTGCCCGGGGGGGCCCAGGGTGTCCCTGCCCTTGGTGGCCGTGCACTGGGCACAGCTGCTGGGCATCCCTGTGAAGTAATTTGGATGTCCAGGCTATGTAAAGAAGGGCATTTATACACTCCACATTCATGTGGTTGTGGGGATGCCAGAGGTGAAATACAGGCTTTTGCTTCCCTCTGCATGAACTCTGAAAAGATGTAGAAAGCATGCAGGATTTTCTCACCATTCCTTAGCATTTGCTACTACCCTGCTTATGGTGAGGTCATCCTCTTGGAATGAAGTCCTGAATTGTTTTGTGTTGTTGACCATCTTCTTCCTTGCACTTCAGTAGCTCTTTTCCTCCTTCACCCTTGATATCTTTTTTGAAAAGGTGACAGCCCTATCAACCTTTATCTTTCTCCTGCATCATCTTCTGTCACTTCTATGCTGAAGCTCTTATAGCCCATGGAAATACACATTTTCACAGTTGTTCATTATGTAAAAAATCCCACAACTCACAAAAATTAAGCAACGTCAGCTAGTTGCTTAGCAAGCCTGTCACTTTTCTTCTGGCCTAAGCATCACTTGGGACCAACCACTGCTCAAATTCGAGGAAGGATTTTGAACCAGTTCTTTTCCTTCTGTTTGAATGTCTGCCTCTTTTCCTCTGAGACTCTGTTGTAACATAGAATTAATTCACAATTACAAAACAAGCTAGATTCTTGGTCTCAGATGTGATTTTCTTGGTAATAGAAACAGGCTTCGGGGGAAAGGTAGTAAGCTTCATGCAATAGAAAATAACCACTAACTCTCACTTACACATACAAATTATGTCAAAAGATCCACTAGTTACCATTCTAGTTCCCTATTAATGTACACAGCTGTTAAGAACTGGACACTGTAGTTGCTTTTTTCTTCAGAACACTATAAATGTTCCTCCAGATTTAACCACCGAGGCTGCATTAAATTAGCGGTGTAATTTCCTATGCACTGTTTCAATTTATCTGCCTTCTATCAAGTATATAAAAAAATAGTGGAAGATCACACTTTGGATGGAGAAGACACACAAAAAAGGGTTAAATTTTCACATCCAAAGCACACAGCAGCAACAGAATACTCCCCCCCTCCCTCACAGCACATGAAGGAAAATCCACTGTTTTATTCTTTAACTCTTACATTTCTTACGACTCTTCGAAAAGTTCACACTAGATTTTCTTTTCAGATTAAATAGAATCCATTTAAACATGGGATTTGTATAAAGACCACAGTACACATATAGTCGTATGATGTCATCAAGGTGACAATTTCTTCTCCATTTAGTACCCAGGCTAATTTGTTTTATACTAAATGAAGCTGGCTGATATCTCTCAGATGACCTGTTGATCAGGTGAACACAGTTTCAAGTGAGCCAGAACTGGTCAAGAATTTGCACCAAATATTCCAATAAGATTGAGATTTCATGTTTTTGAAAAAGACAAATTGATGCTAAGTGGTTTCCAAACTTGCTTTGAAGCTTGTTGAAATTTAAAGGAAAATGAGCATTAAAATGAAACTCCATACAGAACATAAAATTAGTTGGTTCTGGCCACACAAAATGCTTAAACAATCTTTTGGATCAAATGAATGGGTTGCTTTTTTTACTTCACCATTAGATTTGGTGCATCAAAACATTTTAATGCAGAAAATAATAGTTAAGTAGAAAACTAAACCAAAATCCTTAGTACATCTCATTCTTTTTTAGAATCAGCAATTTTTTGCTAGCATCTAGAGAATGAAGAAGTATCTTTGGAAAAACACACAGGAAACACCTTAGAAAATTAATCATTATCATTCTGGGGTAATGCAAAAACAAGCCAGTGCCTTCAATCCTTGAGAAAGGATGTGAGAACAAACCAGTACAGCTACAGGTGTTCTTTATCTATCTACATATAAGCAATTGTAGTAAAGGAGGCACTTCTAATTTGATTCAAGCCTGGAAATACTTCTCATACACACAGATGTAAGTCTCACTGAGCTAGAATCTTAAAGGAGAAAATCTAACTGGCAGAGATATGAAACACCATTATTTGCCCACTCCACCTGTATTTTATTTCTGTGCATAAAGTATGGAAAAATGAAGAGTCACTTGTAATAGATATTCATCATTTATAATAGAAGAACATTCAACTGAAAGGCATTTTGTGAAATGACAGAAAAGAAAGGTTACAACACAAACATAAAATGTTGTTTGTTTGTTTTTGTTTTTGTTTTTTGGGGGTTTTTTGTTTGTTTGTTTTTGTGTTTTGTTTGGGGGGGGGCACATGATCTTTATTATAGGAATAGCTTTATAGAATTAAGATTTGAGTAGAATTTTTTCTCTTTCCTCCTATGCCTGCTCCAAGCTTTTAAGTTCATACATACTTCAGTTCCCATATGTTTCACAGGATGAAGAATTATTTATGTACAAAATTATACTCTGAAAGGCACCTCAATCAACATGACTCCTTTATATTTATTTGTAGGATATCACCTGCACAGATTGAAGTGAGAGTGGGGAGTATACAGTGAACACAAGTCATCAATAATAATAATTACAAAAGAAGAAAAATAAAGTCAGGCATATTAAAGTTTCTTCGTTACTCCTTAGTATATTTATAATCAACCAATTTCCCCCTCATATTTTACAGCTCTGTAAAATAAGACCTATATATCTTCCCAGAGTTTGTTTGTAAGCTATACAATTCCAAGTAGCCATGCTTAAAGGCATTTTATAAACTATTTTATAACGTGGCATGATAATTTCCCGTGGGGATAGTCACTGAACACATAAATTGTTCCTTTGCCAGGACAATACTTCCAGTTCTTGATAATGAAGTTTTTGACTAGCTTCCAGGGAAAGCTGTCACTTCGTTACATCCATGTTCAGTTCCTTTGCCAGTGATCTTCTATCCAAGTCACGTGGTACACAGATGAAAACCCCAAGTGTTCTGCACAAAAACTCAAGAGATGTCACCACTCCTGCAGTCAGTGTTACACCATGCGTACATATACTTACAAACAGCTTTGCAAAACCTAGTTTACCCATCAGCTTTACCCATAGGAAAGTAACTTTATCCCTTTTGCAGCTAAGTGGTCTGTTTGCCTGGGGACTCTCCTGTTTCTGGGAGATGCCTGTGGATTCCATGATGATGAGGCCCAATGGAAGCAAAGAGCTTTGCACCAGCAACACCAATGGCCAAGCTCAGAAGCAGTGACTTTCAGTAGCAGCAGCAGGCAGCTCATTGTACACAGGAGCACTGTCTCTGTCTCAGTATCTCACAGGTTCCATTTCAGCAGATCTGAATCTCTTCGTCCTCCTCTCAATGTTTTTGGAAGAAGGAAATGGAGAAAAAAAAAACAAAAACAGAGGAACAACTTACACCAGGATATCACTTCTCTTGCTGCACCATACCACCAGTGTTATCATGGCACATGTCAACATGACAGGGATCAAGATCAGAGTTATGAGAATTTCATCTGGTGGATCTTCCCAGTGAACCTTTTCTGAAGTACAGTTTGAAAAGAACTGTTTATGAATTCCAGTGATAAAGCCCTCTGCGAGGGGGTTTGGCCAAAAGCAACTCGCATTGTTGGCTTCACGTTCAGTGCACTGGGTAAAGTTATCATAATACCTAGAAGGAGAAAAAAATTAACAGAAGTTTAAACAGAATGCATATGCATATTACCCTTAGAGAAAGATACATGGGGTTCCATATAGAATCTATAAAAGTGGGTCTATCATGTAGATACTCTGATGAAGGACCTTCAATAGCAGCTGTGGGTACCAAATACTACACAATAAGCCAGGAGAGCTGACTCACATGTACTCATATAACTGAGAGATTTCATGTGAAATCCTGAGATCCCAGATAGACAGTGGTCAAAACCCTGTCTTTTAAGGTGCTGCTCCTATAGACAGGACCTCCTGATGCCACTTAAGTAGAATTAGAAACCCCTCACTAGAGATATCTACAGTATCTTTAAAAATCAAACACAAATGTGACAGAAACAGGACATTTTGAGCAAAGTATGGATAATTCATGCCTCATCTGCTATTGGACATGACGTTGTGGCAAAAATGATGATGTGGTGCTGGAACTGAACCAAAACACCTATTGCTGTGTAACAATTTCAGTTCTGTTGTACCCTTAGGCAGTAAGAAGAAAATAGGAAAATAAACACACAGTAAGTTATCTTTTGACCACCTTTATCTTTCTGCCAGCTCCAACAAGTGCCCAGCAGGAAAAAAAATTAATTCCTAATTACACATTTTTGCAATGCTCATGAAAGACTTGGAACACCTTGTAATGCCTAACACTTGATTTCAACTCAGCATGTGTCCAGGTATAACTTGTATTTATGAAAACTGGCTACCCCCATGAAAAAAAAAAAAAAAAAAGAAGACTAAATGAGTAATTGGATGGGTTTTGTAGTGTTATCGTAAGCCAAAGAAATTCAGGAAGTGAATGGAGTATGGGGGAGGAGACTGGAAATTAGGAAGACAAAGGGTGTCTGGTCAGTACATGAATAGGGTAAGAAATAAGGAAGACTAATTATTGCCTGTTGCATTTTAAAATATTTATTTCAGTCTTGCATGACTCAATGAACTCACTTCAAAGGGAAATTAAAAATAGAAGGGAGAGAGCAAGAAAACACATGACACCTCAAGGGATAGCATTCTGCACTATTATCTGAAGGTCCCACCCTCCCTTTCAGTATGTATAAATATGGTAAACTCCTGATGAATGACTTGTTCTGACTGTAAGTACCACAGGGCACTAATGCTGACTCAACCCGTTGCTGTGAAGTAGCCCGGGTGAGACATTCAGTGTTTGGGTGAAGACTGAAGTCCACTGTCTACTGCAGGTCTTTCAGGGGAAATGTGTGTCTGCCCATGCTACAAGCACGTATGTTAAGAATACAGGCTGCACAGCATCTACGTTCGCAGGGCTGTGTTCACAGAAAGGTCCTTCTGCAACCTCCTCATAGTTCTCATTCTTGGGGAATTTGGGCTGATGCTGCTTTAGTCATAAGCAAATACACTGCATGATCTGAGAAGTCCATACCCAGATGCTCTGGCATGCAGATGCATATATGCACAATGTATGTATATTTTAAGCAAAGTAACTACAAAGGAAGCTTTTACGACAATGTCAGCAGCTGCAGGGAAACAACAGGAAATAAGCTAAAAATAAAATACAAATATTATAGCTGTTTGTTATTTTAATAGTCATTCTTCCATGCGACCCGGTAGCACCCTTTCTTTACAACCTTGGACTAAATTAGAAACTGAAGATGTCTTGCTGAATATGGGAGAGACAGTCCCAGAGGACTGAAGCATAATACATCTAAAGGCGCGCCTACAAGGTTCAACAGACTACAATGCAGAGGCGGCAGAGCTAGCGTGCAGTTACCCAGACAGGTCAGTGGTCTGTCTAGCACAGACACCAGGCGGGGCTCCAGAAAGCATCGGGCTCTGTTCCAGCCCTGCTCTGGGCCATGCTCTGGTGAGCAAGCTTGTCCTCTCAATGGCTGCTTCAGCTCCCTGCTGTCACAGCCACCTCAATTTGCCCATCTGTTCATGCCAAATAACGAAACAAACAATAAATCCTGGTGACCTGAGCAGAATTCATATAAAAGAAGCCTAAACTGAAAGATTTAACAATATAAAAACTTTTTTTTTTTTTTTTTTCTTTTCCCCAGGTGTAAAATCCTATAGAAAGTTCACTGTTCTTCCAAGAATTCTGTAGATGGTTTTTTTTTCTCATAGATGGAGTAAACAAAAACATTTCCCACTGGTTTTGCATTTCAAGAACAACATAGCTAGAAAAAGCTGGTTAAACATTGCCAAAAGGCCAGATAAAAATAATTAAGGAGTTATATTGTATTTGAGAGACTGAATACCTAAAAACCAGAACAGAACAAAAATGTTATCTTGACAGTTTGAATCCCTTACAAATTTCCCTTAATACCCTCTCTCTCAAAAAACCCCAAAAAAACTACCTGCACTGTAACTGGTTTTTTCACACAGTTGTGAGGATGTAGATAAGAAAAAAAATCTCAACTACTTTAGAATTACATGTTTGCCAGTAAAACTCAATTCACTTAAATATTTATATAATTTAGTAAAAGAGAGTTTATGCACTGCAACACAAAATTAAAAAAATAATCCTCCGCATGGTACTGTGTAACAGCTACCTCAGACAGGAGCAACTGAACCCTCATTACTATGACGTGGGTGTTTTGTAGTTGATCAACTGGTTTGGAAGTTGTTGGGCTTTAAGAGATAGGGTTTTTATAGATATTTCATTTCAATTTGATTCTCCTATGCATAATTCTCTTATGCCTTACACAATTCTCTTTATTCAAATGGTAAAGGCTAGAGTAGGAAACCCTTCCATTCTGTATAATAATAAAATTACTATCGCAAAGATGCCCTGGCCTCTGACTGAAAATACTTCAACACAAATGCATAAAAAGCACACACTTTGAGAAAGCAAAGAACAAGAAATTACATTTTCTACTTATTCCCAGAACAAGTAATTGGAGAGCTGTATAGTAGCACAAGCTCCTTCTCCTCTTGGATTATGAGGTGTGGGAAGATGATTATTCTCTGTGCAGAGTCACATTTTCATCTCTTTCAGGATAACACAAGGACCTAGCTATTAGTTAGTTAGTTAGCACTCAGAAAAGGTATATTCGCTGAGAACCAGGTCACAAGCTTTGGGATCAGTGGGATGAAAAATTACTTTATGTGAGTTTCAACTCAGGTCAGTAGGCCAGTACCAAAAATCAAAAACTAAGCATAGTCCAAGCACCAAAATTCATATAAAGATATGCTTTCCCCTGATATTCTCAGGAGAATCCTTCTAAGTTTTATTGAGGAACCAACTACTTGGTCATACTGCGTATTATTGAAAATACTTACTTACAAAGAACATGAAAAATACTTAATTACTCTTTGGAGCAATCTCTGAGCTGTAACATATTTGTCATGAAAGACAACTTTCAATAATCTAGAACAATACTTCATTTTCAGAGCACAAACACTTTTTCTCCTGTACTTTATGTTCCCACTAAAACAGATAATAACAATTGTGTGGTTAGTTTTTGTAAAACCTGTGGAAAAATTTATTTTTGAGTTATTTTACCCATGAGAAAACATATTTATATATATTTACCTATAACCAAGAACCTGGACAACAGGCAATTATCTGGAATGCTAGTGCACACATTTGCCTCAATGGGACAGTGTTCCATGGAGTGCCCACTCAAACTATTTAAATAGACACCTGGATGTATTACATCTCACCCATCTCCAGGTACCCAGTTTTCTAGACTGAGCAGTGCCCTGAGTGGGTAAGTGGGGGCTTAAATCTCATCCATAGTTTCCCACATCCCCAGGGAGGAATGTGGTAAATTCCTGCTCTTTCTTCAACATCCCTAAACAGAAAAACTGCAGAGATGATTGGTTTACAAACACACAAAAAATACAACTCCTTCCTCCAAATTTTCATGAGACCAAGAAAACAAACAGATTGTTTCATTAAGAGTTTCAACAAATGAGCACTTTCCAAAGAAAAATTGTTCTTTCAAAAAAAGCGCAAACAATTCCCAAAAAACAGAGTGCCATATATCATGTTACTGAAGACAAATTTCTGAAAGCGTTCACAGTCTGCAGCCAGCAGACCCACCGGCAATTCCAGGAAGAGAATTCTGCCACCTCTCCAGCACTCATGGACAGACCACCCCAGAGACACTATGCAATCAGGGATTTTTTTTTGCCGTTAGTTTACAAGATGGATCAGAAACTAAAAATCAAAAGAATCAACACACTTTCACTATCCCATTTTATGTAAATCAGCCTCATGATTAATGATATAATATGGAAGTGTACAGCAAAGTACGTACATTATGAGTTAATTTTTGTTGAGTCCACTAAGGATTCAGAAAATATGGGGAAAATTCTCTCTAGCATAAATGAGTTTTGATGTAAATCAGGTAATAGATACTCCAGGGACACTCACTCCTTTTGCTACTCTACAATCCTGGACAGGAATCTAGAGGCACTGTTCCAGGATAGTACAAGTTATGTGGTGTATTTTAATAACAATGTTTTAAAACTCTTTTATTTTTTCCCCCCAGATGGTTCAACCAAGAAATTTCTTTATACATAGTCATATATTAATCAGAGTTCAAAGTGAATGATCATCCTTGTAACCTCCACCCAGTCTGGAATGAGAAATGCTGAAATAATAATAATTATAAATATCATATGATGAGAAAGGCTCTTCTTACAGCATTTCCAGATGAAGTGGAGGCAGGAAGTACCAAACAACCTCACCAAAAAAAGCCTGTTCTTGTGGGATATGTCACCAGATTTTATAGAACTTAAGGGTGTAACAGTCTGGATGAACTTCAAATAAGGATACAAACCTTAAGATCTTCTTGGCGTTTCAACATCATATTAAAAGGAAAGCTTTAGTTTTATAATCAGCTATGAGCCTACAAATACAACAGTGGAATATTTCTAAGATTTTTTCATTCAACATCTCTCCAAACAGATTTTTGGCTGTATCTCACCACTCCTTTAATCACATATGCTCTGCCAAGAGGAGTATCCTCACAGACA